AGTGTAGATTCAAGTTTGTTCAAATCATGACCCCCGGGGGTAGGGCGGGCCACAATGGACTATCAAACTTTTACATAGAAATATATTGGAAAAATCTTTAAAAATCTTTTTCTCAGGAACAACAAAGCCCTGATTGGTCATAATTATATGGAAGCATCCTCAGGTATGTAAATTCAAATTTATTCAAATCATGACCCCCGGAGGTAGGGTGGGGCCACAATGGAGGATCAAAGTTTTACATAGAAATATATATGAATTTTAAAAATCGTCTTCTTAGGAACAGCAAAGCCCTGACTGATCATATTTATGTGGGAGCATCCTCAGGTAGTGCAGATTCTATTTTGTTCAAATCATGACCCCCGGGGGTAGGACGGGGCCACAATGGAGGATCAAAGTCTTAAATAGAAATATTTTGGAAAATATCTTCTGGAGAACTGCAAATCGAAGATTTTACATAGGAACATATAGGAAATCTTCTTCTCAAGAACTGAAAATCATGTTTAGTCATTTTGATATGGAAGCATCCTCAGATAGTGTAAATTCAATTTTGTTCAAATGATGACCCCCCGAGGGTAGGGTGGGGCCCAATGGGGGATCAAAAGTTTTACATAAGAACATATAGAAAAAATATTTCTTCTCAAGAAGAGAAAAGCTATGTTTAGTCATATTGATATGGAAGCATCCTCAGGTAGACTAGTGTAGATTCAAGGTTGTTCAAATGATGACCCCTTGGATAGGGAGGAGTCACAAAGGGGGATCAAATTTTTACAAAGGAATATATTGGAAATTGTTTTAAAATCTTCTCAAGTACAACAAGGGCATTTGTTATATTAACATGGAAGCATCATCAGGTTTTTGTTTGTATGTTGTTTAATGTCCCTCTCGAGAGTTTTTCACTCATATGGAGATGCCACCACTTGCCGGTGGAGAGCTGCAAATTTTGTCCTATACTCGGCACTTACGGCCATTGAGCAGTGAGGGATCTTTTTCGTGCCAGCACCTACTACGACACGGGACCTCGGTTTATACTGTCTCATCCGAAGGACCGGTCTCCACGTCCCACAGTGGGATTCGAACCCGCGACGTAAGGATCAACTCCTTACTTCGCGACTCTAGAGCAGACGCAGCAGCATCAGGTAGTTTAAAATTCAAGCCCCCCCCCCCCCCCGTAATCTTTTCAATACTGAACTGATTTGTGCTTTTGCCTAGCCAATGTGCTCAGGTGAGCGATGTGGTCCATGGACCTCTTGTTTTGATATCAAATTACAGAATCAAAAGTAATCTGACTGCATAACTTTTGTTTATAAGATTTTTTTGAGAAAATTATTAGTAAACGAGGATAAGCTTTCAGTCGAGTGAGTAATTAATGTGGCTAAGGTTTATTTTTCTTACTATCGAATAAATGAGTCAACCATTGCTTCATATATGTTCAGAACAGATAGATTGATGAATATGATAGATAGATTGATTAGAGAGAGAGATTGATTAGAGAGAGAGAGAAATTTTCATGGTATGGAAAAATCATAATTGCCCCCTTTTCCCTAAGAAAAATGCGATGCTTTAAATGAGTCACATCTGAACTTATAACAAACTGGATGAAATTAAAAAAAAAAAGAAAGAAAAGAAACGAAATAGTGCTATTAAACAATCATTCCTCAATTATTTCTAAAAAGACCCATTTCCGTTTTATAAATTTACAAGAACCTTTTAGAACAAGACAACCCATAAAAGTCTTTAAAACGTCTGTATACAATGTACGTGTATATCTCAGACCCTGAAGTGACGTCATCACGGAAAAGTTATCCAAACAGGTTCTAATAATTATTTATCATTGTTAAAAGACGATGGGCGTGTTTGGCGTGTGATCTGCAGGAATTATGTGTACGAAACATTTATAGTTTAAATGTCCACGATTTGGTTGGCTGACCACAGCTGGACAGGCTTTAAAAAGCTACGCACATAGGAAAATGTTCTATTTAGTTTGAAATAACATGTCAAATTGTAATATTTAGGTCCGCTTATCTTAATAAACAAACTTTAACAAAGTAATGGTTCACATAAAAAATAAACACCTACAAGACAATAAGGGTATAGTTAAATGCAATAACAGGTACATGTGTATATTAAAGTATTAGTGGGTTGGAAGAATTGCTTTCGCTCTCGATGCAACAGAACCAGAATTTATCCATTTTTAAAATAAATCGGTACAAAAAATTAAACTGACAAAAGAATTGATTGTTTGCATTAAAAAAATTAACGCTTCATGCGAGGATCGAACCAAAAATTCTTCGACTCCATTGCACTGGACGGGTAACGCATATTACTGAGCTATCATCACTACACATACAACTTGGCTTTTGAAAAGACAATGAAGCACCGCATTAACACATTGGAATTTTTTGGGGAAAAAGTTCATTTTTTATGGTCTCTGAGTCTTCTCTCAATTTTTTACAAATGATTTTTTGTTTCTTTGAATAAGAATGCATACAATTAACGTTTGAAAATCATGGAGAGATGACCCAAAGATAGCAAATGTTTAAAAATACGTGTTTAAAAATGTGACATTTTGTACCATATGAATCATATAGCCTATTTTCAAGTTATTTTTTAGCAAAATGGTGGCACATTAATAGTCCAAATTAAGAGACTAATGATACTAAGATGACTGACTATCAAGGCACATAGGCCTCTTTAAGAAATTTGAGCATTATATTTTAGCTTTTCTAAAATAGCAGAATATCTATAGACAACGGGAGTAATACTTGGGTATTTCATTATTCATATAACAAGAGGCCCATTAGCCACAGTGCACATTTGAGTCGCACTGGCCCTGCTGTTCTTCATCACAAAATTAATGAATTCATTAAAATTCCATCAAATTCAACCCTATCCCCAAATGCCCAACTTGAATCAACACATCCTCGGGAGGCTTTAATATTGTTTTGACTAACATGGCCTTGCTGTTAAAAAGAAGTAAACATGAACTTGGTGAAAATTTCTCCCTGATTTAAGCCGTACTCTAACCGCAGGATCTATTATTTGAGGAAAAAAAAAGATCTCTGGAATGTTTCCATGTGGATACACTTTTGTGTGGCCCTGCTATTTAAAAAAAATGTTTAAAAATAAAATCCTCAGATTCCTTTTGAAATAATGATCCCCTATTGAACACAACCTTTAGTTACTCACATGATGGGGTTGGTGTAGGGGGTGCTGATTTGAACCAACTTAAATCTGCACTACATACGTATGATTGTTTGCATCTTATATCACTAATCATAGCCCTATTGTTCTGGAAAATATTCTAAAACATCTTCCCTTTATATTCCCATGTAAAACTTTGATCACCAATAATGACCCCACCCTACTCCAAGGGACCATGATTTGAACCAACTTAAATCTGCACTACCTATGAGTGATTGTATATTACCTATCATGGCCCTGTTTTTTGAAAAGATTTTAAAACATTTTATCTATAAATTCCCGTGTAACACAAAAGCCTTTAGCTTTTTTTGGCCCCACGCTACACCAAAGGGGCCATGATTTAAATTAAAATGGTCTGAAAATACTTGCAAATTTATATTACTAATCATGGTCCTGCGATTCTTGGGGGGGGGGGGGGGGGATAAACAAAAAATCCAATATATTCCCATCAAACTTGAATCTACACTTTGTCAGGAAGCTTCCACATAAGTTTCATCTTTTCTCTGGCGCAGTGGTTCTTGAGAACATTTTCAAATGACCCCACCCAGTTTTCACTATTTCTTAATTATCTCCCCCTTGAAAGAGGATTGCGTTAAACCCAAGGTTGCGTTGTGGCAAGTTTTGTTGAAATTAGCCTAGTGGACCACAGACAAGGGACAGATTTCGATGACCAGTGCGATAATACAAAACAGGTAAGTAACGGTTGACTACACAGTATATTTAGACATAATTTCCATTTATTACAATTAGTATGTACATGTATGAGCGGAATGTGTCATAATTTATGACTATGACCTGTCCTTAAAAAGTTATCTCTAATTGTTCAATAAAAATCGATTTTTAATCATGTATCCGGTAAAAAAAAGTTTTTAATTGTTATTCGATTTCTACTTATTAAAAAAAAAATTCCACCGCAGCATTTTTTGATATTCTTAGTATCTAATTTTTTTAATTTGAAAAATTTGCCTGTCCCCATTGACCCCAGAGCAATTGGCTACTGCTTCTAAAAGTAATAAAATTTATTAATTTTTCTTTTTGTAAAATCCTTTTCGACTCTAAAATGCTCTTACAAAATTAATATCAAAGAACTTAAAACGTGCTGAAGAAGACTTTCACATGTACAAAAGTTATTTCCCTTTGCGGGGTCAAACGGGGGTCAACCGGCGTAAGGCACTGTTTTCCCTCTATAACATTACCAACTTTATGTATAATGTCATACAATTTTAATCTGCATGAATATGTTCATTATGTTAATGATGTTGCCCCATGCTATGGCAATACAGGAACGGATCAAAATTGTCCTATAGCGTTTGAAGGTTGAAGATATTTACAGGCTAGTTACAAGGAATGTGTTACGCCGACAACGGGAGATAACTCTTTAAAAGAATATGAAATCGTCTATTGGGTTCTTTAGGGGATGAAATACCTTAAGTGGTCAAATGCAAGATATTCACAGTAGCCATATCCCAAATTTTGTTGAAAGGGGCCCTATCATTTCAGAGTTCAAAAGTTTACAAACGATGCAGAGCAAAAAAGATAGAATTAGGCAATAACATGCACTTCAGAAAAAATATGCAGTAAAAATAGGTAACTATTATTTTGCAAAAATAAAGACATTTTTAAATAAAACTAGACTGGATGTGTACAATGGATAAAATCTGACTACAGTTGGATTGCCCCTGACTGAAAAGAATCTTCTTAGTATGAAGTTCCTCTAGACTGGTTTTTCTCTATAATGGGTTGAACTTGCTGAAATGAATTTTGTTATTTTTTGTTTATTAAGACCAAAAAAAAAAAAATGTTTTTGTAAACAGTTTTATTTGCATTTATATACAACTTTGTTCACATTCTCTCAACAAAACGTATGGCACAAAAAACTCTATCATCAACAAAAACATTACGAAACAGTGGCCAAAAGACAGGTAAAATTATCACGCAAAGCAAATCAAATATTGCACTGGGAGCATTACGTCATGATTGTAACAATGACTCTATCATACACAGTGTTAACGATCCAGTATATAAAAAACACCTGCTGCAGCTACAATGATATAATAAAACAATTATTTCACACACCCCGGTACACATGGAAGGGAAACCTATTTACAATATTGAAATTTGTTCATTTCTGGTGTAACAATCAAATCACAAGATAATACATAATTTTTGGGGGTTCTGATGAAGGATAAAGTATTACAATTCTAAAATTACAATTTAAAAGAAAAAAACAAAAACTAGATGAGTTCAAATATGTGTAAATTATGAATAATATCTATACATGTAAATAAATGTACAAAATACGCTGAAAATGAGACTTCCTAATACTGAAAGTTATTACAGAGAGAATAAAGGTATGTAATCTCAATTGAAAGGTAAACTGTATCACTCTATAAAGGGAATAGGCAGTCTTTTAAAGAAAACTCAACACTACTCACTAGGAAGTTCTAATTACATGATAATTTAATGCAGTAAGAGTGATTTGCCTTTTGATGTAAATTATTTTTTACACCAAGATAAAGAAATTGAAATCATGAATGTACTTTCCCAATCAAGTAAACAGTGATTTATGTTCACTAATTGAAGGGAGAAATATTGCAGGTACCTAGGTGTAAAAAGAACTAGAAAAACTCAATATGTACATTTTTGCATGATAAAATTCTCTCAAAGTTCAAAAAACATTTTTCGTTTTTGGAGCTTCTTTCATGACATCTGTCTTAAAAAATTGAGAACAGCAAAGATGACTAATATACAGTTTAAAGACATATAATTGTTAAAGTTACGTAAATAACTTGTTAATAATATTTACACATCCTTTGGAGGTCAATCCATGTCAATTGATGGACTTTAATGTAAAAGCCTTTGATGTTTTACAAATAATGTGTTTGGAATGAATTTTGATCTCTCTCTCTCTTTACATATAAGCTAGGAATGCATGTTGTACATGGTCCAAAAACTATTTGGCAAAAGAATACTGAAAAAAAACTATCACTAACTTCATAGAAAAAATGTCGTCCAATCACAACATAGCTTAGAGCCGTGCTAGTCACACTTCACTGAAAGCACCGATATGGTCCACACGTCAAAGCTGAACTCGTCAGCTCACAGTGGCAGTCTCCAAATCACTAGGATCATCAGAAAAGCCAAAGCCTGTGTATATTAATTCTTATTCTCTGCTTAATATATATTTTCTCTTCAATCATTACAATCAAACTTTGCCAATGCTTCCAAACTGAATAAAGGAAGATCTGATTCACAGTATGGTACACAGTGTAATAAAACTGGAAGTCCACAATGACTGGAAATGTCCAGTTTCTGTAGAGCCATTATTGTATCTTTCAATTATTTCTAAGATTTTAAATGCACTGGTTAACTATACATATTTAATTTCTTTCACATCTGGTCATCCACGAGACCACCTTCTGATACAGATTCTGCAGAAATTCCAGGCTTTGGTCTTCTCTGACTTCACACATACCATTCTTTAACATCTTTCTTCTTCCCCGACTTTCCACCTCCACTGCTGTGGTTTCCTAGCAACGCTCCATGGCCATTACCCTGCTGCTGTTTCTTTTCCAGAAATGCAAAGTTCTGACTTTCGTCCACTTTATAAGAGCCTTCATCACGACTCCGGAATTTATACAAAGCTATAATTAGAATTATCAAAGCCACCAACACCCCACCCACAATGCCAATAATAAGGGCAAGGTTTGGTGTCTGTGTCACTTCCTGTTCACGATTTCTATTTGCAGGAATTAGAGGATATTCTGTTGAAGTTTTGCCATTCCCTTTCATAGGCACAGAAGAATTCTTTTTGTCCGTATTTATCAAATTAGTACTCTCTACTTGATTATCACAATTTAAGGAATCTTTTGGGGAACATGGTCCAACATCAGTGCTGTAAATAATTAAAAAAACCCAGTATTTTGAAGCAAACTCTCATGAGTAAATCTTCTGAACATGATTAATGTTTGTATGTGCATGTGTACAACTAGTGTGGGCTGAAAGAGATACACATGTATAGTCTCTCTTCTTGTATTGTATTAAGAATTGAAATAAATTATCCTCTGATAGATGACTTTACTGTGAATTTACATTTAGACTTCCATGTAGTAAACATCTTTTCTGAAGTTTTTTTTTCCCAGAAAAGTGAGTTTGTACTTGTATAGTACATGTGCTTAAGGCTTGTCTTTGTGGAGAATTATCCAAAAATTTACTTTTTCAGTTAAAGAGTGTAGGTTTCCATGCTTGGAGATATTACATGGTTTATGACAAGTTTACTTTTTGTGTGAATTTAACTGATGCAGAAATGTTTACCTTTTCAGTGGTGGTTTTGTGGTTGGTTTGTATGTAAATGTTACACTTGTGGAAATGCTATGAAGAATGGTTTACCTTTTCAGTGGTGGTTTGATTTTATGTAAATGTTACAATGGTGGAGATGACATTATCTGATGCTTTACTTCTTCAGTTATAATTTTATGGTTGATCTGCATATGTTACACATGCATGTGGAAATGTTTTTATTTGATTGTTTACCTTTTCAGTGGCAGTTTTGTGGTTGGTTTGTATGTAAATGGTACTGTTGTGGCGATGACATTATCAGACAGTTTACATTTTCAATGGTGGTTTTTTGGTTGGATTGTATGTAAAAGTTACATGTGGAAATGCTGTTATCTGACAGTTTACATTTTCGTTGGTGGTTTTGTGGTTGGTTTGTAAATGTTACACATTTGAAAATGTTGTTATCTGATGGTTTTCCCTTTCAGTGGTGGTTTCGTGGTTGGTTTGTATGTAAATGTAACAGTTGGTGAAATGTAATTTGATCGTTTACCTTTTCAGTGGTGGTTTTGTATTTCATTTGTATGTACATGTTACACTTGTAGAAATATTGTTTTTTGATGGTTAACCTTTTCAGTGGTGGTTTTGTGGTCGATCTGCCTATGTTACACATGTGGAAATGTTATCTGATGGTTTACCTTTTCAGTGGTGGTTTTGTGGTTGGTTTGTATGTAAATGTTACAGTTGTGGAAATGTTATTTGATGGTTTACCATATCAGTGGCAGTTTTGTGGTTGGTTTGTATGTAAGTGTTACAGTTGTAGAAATGTTATCTGATGGTTTACCTTTTCAGTGGTGGTTTTGTGGTTGGTTTGTATGTAAATGTTACAGTGGTGGAGATGATGTTATCTGATGCATCGTCTGAAGCACAATCATCCTCATCATCTACTGGACACTTGATTCCTCCATCCCCCGACCCTGCTGGGATAATTATGTCATCTGTCACGCCCTCCAGAGGAGTGCTGTGCTGTGAAATTAAATTGAATTCATTCATTGAATTGACTGCCCTATGTTTATTAAGGTAAAAGCAGGGAATTTGGTGTGCTGTAAATTTTCATTAACATATTCATATTCTGCATAAGGGTTGAAATTTACATATAATTTTTTTCCTTGGTATCTAAATAGCACATTTGAATTTGTGCAAATATAATGTTTGTCTTCAGCATAAATACTAAAAACTGGTACATATAATTTATTTGCAGTTTTTTTAATTTAAAGCACAAATATAGCAAAAATTTGTATAATGAGTTAATTTCCCCTTATACAGTAATTAATAGGATGAATTTATAATAATATAGTTGCATTCTCCCCTATTCTCACATAAACAAAATCTGATCACCTTATTACATGCAGTAGTTAAATGTACAAATTCACTACATTAACAAAAAAAACCTTTCAAATATCAATAGGCAAACTCTTCACATATGTATGGTTATGTCTACTCATGTTAATTTCTTTAATTGATTGCATAAGTTAGGACTGAAAAAAAACAAACAAAAATGTGCTGTATGAGAGAGAGAAAGAGTGAGAATATACTGGCATAAGCCCACGTACATCATGCATCAAAGAATGGATACTAGCTAACAAGATCTGATAAATTTACTAAAATGAAAAATTCATGAAGAGAGCAGCTGATGCTATAATAGGATGGTGATTATTGGCAATCCATTCCGTGTTATTGTGCACTAGAAAACATTAGTTCCTCATCTGCCTTCAGTCATCCAGGATTAGGCTACGTTATCAGTAGCTGACATCCAGTGTTAGTTTCCCAATCATCCTTTACAGTTATCCAGCATTAATGTTTGGTGTTAGTAAAAAACCCCATACCCAGGATCCTCCCACTTACTATTTCAGTGATGGGGATGTAAGTAACGTGAGACTCCCCTTTTCCCACAACTACCCTCTCACCCTCATCCCTGACAATTTTGTGGTTTGACAATGGCCTCAGATGGTTGGACCTGGATGATGCTTCAGGTAACTTTCTTGGAATCACATGATGGATGGAGTCTCCAAACTGACTCTTCATTTTCTCATATCCCGAATTCCCATCTTTCCATTTCTGGTTATTCTTTTGTGGGAGGAAGGAATTCCCATTATCCGATTTTGGGAAGAGGTTGATTTGATGACCAGATTGTGCATAGAGGAAAGGAAAATCTTCTTGACTAGTCCTTCCCTGGTTCCCGTGTCCTGATCCTTGGTAATCGGCAATGTTATCAAAGTCAGCATCATCACTCATGTAATCCATCAGAACATCCTTAGGTTCTTTTTTCACATCACCTGACAGTTTTAGTTCCACTGAGTTCATTAATGGAAACTTTACAACACTTTCTTTCAGGTAAATTTGTTTTTTTGTGACATCTCTTTGTTTTTGCTGGGGAAAATCTCTGTTAGTTTGATGAGATGGTGGTAGCAGTGTATTGTCTTTAGCAGAGGCTGGTTTCCCTTTAGCATTTCCTGATTTAGCACCATTTTTGTCAATTTTCTGTTCATTATTTTTACGATCTATCTTGAGAAAGTGACAAGAATGTTTTCAGATAACTCAAAATATAACGAAGCGACTTTAAAAAAAAAAAAACTTTAAAAAACTAAAAAAAATTATCAATTTTCCATCAATAAAACAAAATGTTTGGGAGACTTCCTTACGCAGATAGAATAAAACATACCCGTATTCCTTCTGTAGATTGCATTTCATGTTTCCTACAAAATACAACATCAGTGATTCAAATGAGCCTTAACTTTTTATACCAATTTGTAAATGACTTTGAAATGAGATAAATTTCTCATATCCTTACCTGGTACTTATAGGACAGAGCTGAACACTACCCCGAGTAACAACGAAAGGATCTAATTCACAGGCAAGGTCAATCACTCTTAAACCATTAAACACCAACCCTGGACAAGGGAAAAATCACTGGTAATTAAAAATTATGAAGCTCAATTAAAAATAAGTCTTGTTCCAATATGAAATGTTCCGTAAAATGCATTACTTTAAAATGTTATTGTTGTATGCCTTTCATTATAATCATAATACAGGTCAATAGCAGTACTCCAAGAATTAGTCTGTTATTTTACATCTCTAGCTGCATCATCTTTGCAAGTTTGGTATAATTAGAGTTTACATCCACTTAGCAAAAGACTTTAACCTGGTCACTCAAGTAAAAACAAGAGGCCCATGAGCCACATCGCTCACCTGAGCACATTGGCTAGGCAAGAGCACAAATCAGTTCAGTATTGAAAAGATTACTGGGGAGGGGGGGGGGGGCTTGAATTTTAAACTACCTGATGATGCTTCCATGTCAATATAACAAATGGCTTTGTTGTACTTGAGAAGATTTTTTAAAAAATTTCCCATATATTTTTTTGTAAAAATTTGATCCCCCATTGTGGCTCCTCCCTATCCCAGGGGTCATCATTTGAACAAACTTGAATCTACACTACCTGAGGATGCTTCCATATCAACATGACTAAATATAGCTTTTCTGTTCTTGAGAAGAAATATAATATTTTTTCTATATGTTCTTATGTAGAACTTTTGATCCCCCAATTGGGCCTCATCCTACCCCCTAGGGGTCATCATTTGAACAAAATTTAACTTACACTATCTGAGGATGCTTCCATACCAAAATGACTAAACATGATTTTCAGATCTTGAGAAGAAGATATTTTCCTATATGTTCCCATGTAAAATTTTCGATCCCCCATTGTGGGGTCATCATTTTAACAAACTTGAATCTACACTACCCGGGGATGCTTCTATATCAAAATGACTAATTATGGCTTTGCAGTTCTTCAGAAGAAGATATTTTCCTATATATTTCTTTTTAAGACTTTGATCCTCCATTGTGGCCCTGCCCTACCCCCAGGGGTCATGATTTGAACAAACTTGAATCTACACTATCTGAGGATGCTTCCATATAAATATGATTCATCATGGCTTTTCTGTTCTTGAGAAGAAGATTTTTAAAGGTTTTTCCTATATATTTCTATGTAAAACTTTGATCCTCCATTGTGGCCCCGCCCTACCCCTGGGGGTCATGATCTGAACAAACTTGAATCTACACTACCTGAGGATGCTAAAAAATTGTCAGATGCAGAATCAAAGGCAAGTTTGATAGTATGAAACCCTGAATGCATCATCTGTTATAGTTTGGTCAAGGCAGGGCTTATGGTCAAGACTTCCTGAGATAATTATCTCAGGTAAGCTATTGACTAAGTGCTTACCTGAGATAATCAAGTGCTAACCTGAGATTATCAAGAGCTTACCTAAGATAATCTATAGCTTACCTGAGATGATTCAATGCTTACCTGAGATAATCAAGTGCTAACCTGAGATTATCAAGAGCTTACCTAAGATAATCTATAGCTTACCTAAGATGATTAAGTGCTTACCTGAGATAATCAAGTGCTAACCTGAGATTATCAAGAGCTTACCTAAGATAATCTATAGCTTACCTAAGATGATTAAGTGCTTACCTGAGATAATCAAGAGCTTATCTGAAATAATCAAGAGCTGATCTGAGATAATCAAGAGCTTACCCAAGACACTCAATAGCATACCAGAGATACTCAAGAGCTTACCTGAGATAATCAAGAGCTTAAATGAGATAAATAAAAACTTACTGTAGATAATCAAGTACTTATCTGAAATAATAAAGAACTTACTTTAGATGATCAAGAACTTACCTGAGATCTGAGATAAACAAGAACTTACTTGAGATAATCATTAGCTTACCTAAGATAATCAAGGGCTTAAATGAGATAATTAAGAGCTTACTTAAGATACTTAAAGGCATACCTGAGATAGATCCAGTAAAGGCATTCTGCTGTCTTGCATTTCCATTCCCACCCACAAGAATCTTGGACTGATTATTGAAGACACTCCACTGTTGTTCATTTTCTAAAAAAGAAAACATCCTATAACTGTATACACTGTAATGTCTTGCTGAACATTTTGGATTTTGTTAGTTTTGTCAGAATTATCTCCCTTAACTATGTACCCAATGCAGTCTTCACTTTCCTTAACAATAAAAAAATCTTTAAAATGAAGGAAATGGGCAGACAAGGTGTGCAAAATGCCTATTATAGCTTCCAATGTATAAAAGTCATATTCATTTTTGTGAATTCAGTAGAGTTAAGTTCTTATAATTGAAAAAAAATTGTGGAAAATTCTGATGACAAAAAATCCTTCTAAGATTTTTAAAAAATGTGGTATTAGGGTTCCAACCCAACTAATAAAAATCATCAGTATCAGTTTTCTATTTGAGACCAACAAGCTAACCACTATACTATACCACTCCGAACAAATGCCAGCATTTAACTTAATGTTCGTGAATAAATTGACTTCAAATATTTCTCCGAAAGATGCAAATGTTGTGTCATAAAAGTGTATTTTTGAGGTAAAGTGGGTCTTTGCTCCATGTTTTTGTTAACTGAAGAATGTATATTTTTACACATACTTTGACAGAGTATAATCTTTCCAAAAAATGGAGCAAAGACCCACTCACATGGAAAAAGTGTGTTTCAGTATGAAGAATTGATCATTTTTGCTCTCTTTGCTGTATGTTTGCTATTTCCTAGACCAATAATTCCAATTTTTGTTACATTGTTGCGATTTGTGGAGATTTTACTTCAAGTATGCATTAATGTTAAATGAAATATGAAAGAAAATTTTGTGATAATTGAGATTTGATTTTTCTCTTTCTTGATTGAGGCACAATAAGCATTTTGCTTGCCTTGTTCGCCCATCTTCTTTGTTAGGAAATGTGCTTTTGACATTCAAAAGTGATTCCTTATCATAGAAATTTTCGGATAGTTTATTTACCTGCCAATTCATTCACTGAGAAAAGCTTGGACAAAAAACCTGATGCATTAAAAAAGAGGACGTATAATCAACAATAAGAAACAGCTGATATATCCATCAAACACTCTCACTCAATAACTTATGCTATAATCAATGTACAGCATTGTAAAACAAAATTGAAATACTGGTTATCTGCCAATCACACAAGAAGTTTAATTTGTTATCTTTTGACTGAATATTGCAACTGGTATAAAATTGGTTATTAAACTAAGAATGAGTGAATTTCCATTCTACTGCATAATCAAGAACAGTAACTTCAATATAAGGAATTCAGCCTGATAAGGGATAAACTGACATAGTCTTTCCTTCAATTTAAATCTAAGGAATAAAATGTTAAATTCACTGCATGTTTATATATCAACCATTTAAGTTGCCAAACTCTATTAATGAAAAATTCTTTCATTACCCAGCTTAAAAAAGAAAATTGAAGTGGATACTTTAAGTCACTTTTTGTGCACGAGAATATTATTTTTGCGTTAATATGGCCTTCCGTTTAAGAAAATTTCATTCTCGCATATATTGGTATTACTAAAGATTACCAAAAAAAAAAAAAAACCAATTAACAGAAATTGTCAAAATTTTGTCACGCATACAATATTACTGTCTTGTGAAAATTTGGTGATTTACAGTGTATCAGAGATTGTAAAGCATGCAAAACCTAAAACATGTCTGAAGATAGTCAGTGAGGTAGGTGAGACTGCTTTTTATTTGCAATGTTTCATTTCATGTATCACTATGGTACAGTACGTGGACTAATCAAAATTCCAGGGAGATTTTTGAAACAACAGAACATAGATCATACAGTGTATAAACATATGATCACCATGGTTTTAATGATCACCTAAATTATATCATTAAGTAATGAAAGAAAAAGTGAGCAAGCTCACATACCCCACGCTCCCCCAAAACTCGACAATGCAACATGTACTGAATAGCACAGTGCATTTTAAATACACAGTATAATTCAAAAAGGGGCATTACTTGCAAAAAATCATCACATCAAAACTTCTTGCATATAAGGACATTTAAATCTTTGTATGTTACAATTTAATTGGGCTGAAGTTTCTAGATAAATAATGGAATAAAAATTTCTTGGTAATATACAAATCTATACTTTATGTCTGAAATACCTACAAAGTTTCAGGAAATTCAGTGCAGGAGTTATGCTGACAAACTGTTATTTAAATTCCTCAGTGATTTCGATTTGTTAATGAGTGTAAGTCCATGTCCAACACATGACAACTCACACATTTAAATAATTGATGGAAACAAAATTATGATGTAGTCATATGAATTTGTTTATATACTGTACATATGAAATTATTTAAGGCAAAGTACCAATTTGACGGGTGGGGGGGTTGAGAACTATCCAAGATTCAAGATTTTGTGTGTGTGTTAAATCATTAATCTTTTGATCTCAAAATCAATAGCGGTCTTTTAAGGTCATTAAATATTTCACATAAAATGTCATTACAAAGGCTGATTCCAGTGTGGATTTCCTTTATTACCTAGCTGGAAAGTTTCTTCAATAATAGGCAAAACTCTTAGGGCAAAAATAATGGAATCGGAATTTCCTGGTAATATGCACATCTACACACTGTGTCCTAAATATCTGCAAAGTTTGACGAAATTCTGTGCGGCGGTTTAAAAGGAGTTGCGCTGACAAACTGTTCATCTCTATATTCAAGATATGGCCAAAAATCTAAGTTCAAAAGTGCCGAAATTCCCAGAAAAAATAAAGGAATCGGAATTTCCTGGTAATATGCACATCTACACATTGTGTCTTAAATATCTGCAAAAGTTGACGAAATTCTGTGCAGCGGTTTAAAAGGAGTTGTACTGACAAACTGTTCATCTCTATATTCAAGATATGGCCAAAAATCTAAGTTGAAAAGTGCCGAAATTCCCAGAAAAATAAAGGAATCAGAATTTCCTGGTAATATGCACATCTACACATTGTGTCCTAAATATCTGCAAAGTTTGACGAAATTCTGTGCAGCGGTTTAGGAGGAGTTGCGCTGACAAACTGTTCATATCTATATTCAAGATATGGCCAAAAATCTAAGTTCAAAAGTGCCGAAAATCCCAGAAAAAATAAAGGAATCGGAATTTCCTGGTAATGTGCACATCTACACATTGTGTCCTAAATATCTGCAAAGTTTGACGAAATTCTGTGCAGCGGTTTAGGAGGAGTTGCGCTGACAAACTGTTCATATCTATATTCAAGATATGGCCAAAAATCTAAGTTCAAAAGTGCCGAAAATCCCAGAAAAAATAAAGGAATCGGAATTTCCTGGTAATGTGCACATCTACACATTGTGTCCTAAATATCTGCAAAGTTTGACGAAATTCTGTGCAGCGGTTTAGGAGGAGTTGCGCTGACAAACTGTTCATCTCTATATTCAAGATATGGCCAAAAATCTAAGTTGAAAAGTGCCGAAATTCCCAGAAAAAAATAAAGGAATCGGAATTTCCTGGTAATATGCACATCTACACATTGTGTCCTAAATATCTGCAAAAGTTGACGAAATTCTGTGCAGTGGTTTAAAAGGAGTTGTACTGACAAACTGTTCATCTCTATATTCAAGATATGGCCAAAAATCTAAGTTGAAAAGTGCCGAAATTCCCAGAAAAATAAAGGAATCAGAATTTCCTGGTAATATGCACATCTACACATTGTGTCCTAAATATCTGCAAAGTTTGACGAAATTCTGTGCAGCGGTTTAGGAGGAGTTGCGCTGACAAACTGTTCATATCTATATTCAAGATATGGCCAAAAATCTAAGTTCAAAAGTGCCGAAAATCCCAGAAAAAATAAAGGAATCGGAATTTCCTGGTAATGTGCACATCTACACATTGTGTCCTAAATATCTGCAAAGTTTGACGAAATTCTGTGCAGCGGTTTAGGAGGAGTTGCGCTGACAAACTGTTCATCTCTATATTCAAGATATGGCCAAAAATCTAAGTTCAAAAGTGCCGAAAATCCCAGAAAAAATAAAGGAATCGGAATTTCCTGGTAATGTGCACATCTACACATTGTGTCCTAAATATCTGCAAAGTTTGACGAAATTCTGTGCAGCGGTTTAGGAGGAGTTGCGCTGACAAACTGTTCATCTCTATATTCAAGATATGGCCAAAAATCTAAGTTGAAAAGTGCCGAAATTCCCAGAAAAAAATAAAGGAATCGGAATTTCCTGGTAATATGCACATCTACACATTGTGTCCTAAATATCTGCAAAAGTTGACGAAATTCTGTGCAGCGGTTTAAAAGGAGTTGTACTGACAAACTGTTCATCTCTATATTCAAGATATGGCAAAAAATCTAAGTTGAAAAGTGCCGAAATTCCCAGAAAAATAAAGGAATCAGAATTTCCTGGTAATATGCACATCTACACATTGTGTCCTAAATATCTGCAAAGTTTGACGAAATTCTGTGCAGCGGTTTAGGAGGAGTTGCGCTGACAAACTGTTCATATCTATATTCAAGATATGGCCAAAAATCTAAGTTCAAAAGTGCCGAAAATCCCAGAAAAAATAAAGGAATCGGAATTTCCTGGTAATGTGCACATCTACACATTGTGTCCTAAATATCTGCAAAGTTTGACGAAATTCTGTGCAGCGGTTTAGGAGGAGTTGCGCTGACAAACTGTTCATATCTATATTCAAGATATGGCCAAAAATCTAAGTTCAAAAGTGCCGAAAATCCCAGAAAAAATAAAGGAATCGGAATTTCCTGGTAATGTGCACATCTACACATTGTGTCCTAAATATCTGCAAAGTTTGACGAAATTCTGTGCAGCGGTTTAGGAGGAGTTGCGCTGACAAACTGTTCATCTCTATATTCAAGATATGGCCAAAAATCTAAGTTCAAAAGTGCCGAAAATCCCAGAAAAAAATAAAGGAATCGGAATTTCCTGGTAATATGCACATCTACACATTGTGTCCTAAATATCTGCAAAAGTTGACGAAATTCTGTGCAGTGGTTTAAAAGGAGTTGTACTGACAAACTGTTCATCTCTATATTCAAGATATGGCCA